TTATTGCACTAAAAATTAGCACTTAGAAGTCTAAATTGATGAAAAATCTTAATTAATGAAAAACCTTTCAGTTATCTATGTGATTTCCAAATAGTTGTCAAACACACAAAAATCCTAACATTGAAAGCAAACTACACCCAAGTGTCCGTCCATCCTGGCAGCAAAATATGCCAGGCTTTTTGACATTTTTTTTTCCTGAAAGCATTAAATTCTTTTGGGTCCTATCAGGAGCAAAGATTCTTTCTTCTTAGCACAAGATTTTTATGCGAAATGAGACAGAACTAAAATCAGCACCTGTTTCTGCTTGTGAGGTAATTCAGAAAATACCTGTTTGTGATGCTAAAATGTGTACTGAGACAATGTTCTGCACATTTTCTCTTGCACAGTGTCCCATTTTCTTTTGTCTAATTCTGGCTGTCACAATGCTGAATACAGCTCATTACTCTGTAGTCTTTCCCCTTGTCTTATATTATGTTGCATGCAAAGCTTCCATTCTTTCTGTAAAACTTTAACAAGCTATGGGCTGGGACAGACAGAAGACTATCTTTGCTCGCATTTGCTCAGTCTTCATAAATGGTGATGAAGAATGACTGCATTTCCACATGAGTAGTGACATTTTTAAGTTATACTGATAGGAAAGATCCAAATTACTGCAGTTCCCACCAAAATATATAACAAGGGATCTTAAATTCCATTTAAATTAAGTTACAGATATTACAGATGGAATAACATCTACATTCATGGATTTTGAAGTACATAATTTTTATAGCTTCTTGCAGTTGGTCAGCCAATCAAGTAGGCAATTGCATACAACAGATGCCTTATTGTAATGTTAGAACATGGGTTTGTCTTTAAGATTTCTGTTTTCATTTCCTAAATAAAAGGAACTTCTAAGAACACCTAGAAGTACTTTTCTTAGGGTTACTGCCAAATTTATCTAAAAGGAAAACTGTTTGTTCACCATCTCTATCTGAATGTTAGAAACCTGTCCACCTTATTTATCATTTTCTCACTGAATCTCATTTAATTAAAATTAAATTATCTGTTAAAAAAAAAAAGAACCCTAGTATTTATTTAAAGTAAATCTCTAGTTTGCAAAGGAGAGGAGATACAAGATTCTAGACTGCAGTGGAATGGAGATTTAAATTTATCTGAATTCTTAAGCAATTACATCATTTGAACACTGAATGTTTACAAATTGGTATTTGTATAATTTTTATAAGTTTGATTAAGTTGAAAGATTTAAGATGTTAATTAACTAATCAAAATGCAACTAGATTTTTAAATGATGCAATTTACCATATCATCATTCACAAACCTGATGGGCTCAAATGTTATTGATAACTATTTTCTCATGACACAAGGACCTTAACAAATTTGAATTTAGTAAATATATTTTCCTAACAAACCCATAATTTAGATTAAAGTTAGATTATGTGTGTAAAATTAGGATGGTGGATAAATTATGCAAGCAAATAAAACCATTTTTTTCATATATTTCAGAGGACCAATGCAAGGATATGAATGGATATGAATCCATTTTCTATGTTTAATAGATAATATAATATTATTGTACAAGACAAGAAGATAATAGAATAGTCTTGGGGGGAGGCAAAGTGATATGAAGGAAGATATTGATTTAATTACAGGCATTATTATATGATATTTATTAACTAAACTAAATCCATTTCAATATGGATTGTATCCTAATTATGGGATTCAAAAAAAATTCATGTCTTCATGGACGATCTCATCAGAATAGAAAAAGAATTGATACTACTCTTATTTATTTTATTATTTTTATTTAATCTCTCAATTGGTTTTGAGACTACTGACCATAATATCCTAGACTACTTCTATAGAGTTAAGTTGCAGAATCAGTGTTTCCATCAACTATGTGATTTCTCAAGATACTATTTTAAATTTATATAAAGCTGCCTTATATAGATATTAGAAAATTTACTTCAAGATATTATCATGTTGAAAACTACCAGTAGTATTTAATTTGGGAAAAACCACATATGATTTAAAACAGTACCTGAAGAAAATATTGTTTTTCACAAGGTTTAGTTAACGCAATGTGTATTTGAGAATTCACTGGGTAAATTGTTTCCTAAGGTAGATACTCAACAACTAGCTATGCTGGGGATTGTGTTATACTCCTGAAAAAAACAGGTCTGCAATTTGGAAGTGCTAGTACTCATCATTGTTGCTAGAGGTCAAAGGGATCCTCACAGCTAGAAATATTTACCATTAGGTTTGTCAGGTATGTCAGCTACATGCATTTTCTGGACAGCAACAGCTTGCCTATTGTGATTCATGCATCAGTATAGTTCTAATTGCTTCACTGCTTCATATGAAACTGCCCTTGGATGACTGTATTGTAATCCATGTAAATGTGACCTTGGAATGGGTTCAGAAATTACAATTATTACAAAACTTAATAGCTTCATTACTGATGGGGGTATGTACATAGTAAATTATGCTAAACAATCTGTAGTGCCCATTGAGCAAGGTTGAGACATTGATATTAATATAAAATCCTAAACAACCAGACACAAGGTTAAAATTAAGGCTGAGGTTAAGATTCCATCTTAATAATGAGACTTTATTTAAAAGCAACTATTTTACCATTTCTTGAATACAATAAGATATCTCCAGATTTTGGAGGGGTTGGGACCTAAATGTGCTTTGGTTAAGCAGAAACTAAAATAAATATTTTACCAAAACTTAAATTATTAAGTTTATTTTTTTCTTTTTCAAATTCTTCCAGTTCATACTGAACATGAGGTATTAAATAATTGGCATGAACGAATAATGAACTTGTTTGACACAAGGATTAATATTCAACACTCTACATGTTTTGAAAGAGTGATGTGAATCAGAAGCTACAAAGTTTAAAATGTATCACCAGGTTAGCTACTCAACATGGATTTTGTAGTGGCTTGTATCTTAGATCTAAGAAAATGGCAGGACTTTTAGATGGTTTGCATAAATATATCTGGCTTGAACAAACAACCATTAAGAGATTGTGCAACAGTAAGTTATACACTGAATATTTGTAATAAAACAGGAAAAGAATTCCTTCTAATAATGATTAAATATTTATTTTTATGACAGGGAAAATTTTAATGGAGGGGTAAAAATTAATTCTAATTACAAAATTTGCCATGCTTCCTCATGAAAAAGCCAATGGTTTTAGGTTCCATAATACATCTAAAAAAATGGGTTCAGCTTATTCATGGATGGGCTTACCCACAAATATATATAATTATCAACACAATCAAGTTTAAATTATTTGAAACCCATGACCTTCTTTCACTGTAAGAATGAAACGTTAAATTTACTCTGAATTTTAGATTCAAAGAAAATTGAGAAAGATGTAGTATTGTTGGTACACTAGCTTGGTTTCAATTGCTAAAATGGACATTTCATTTTTAAAAATATGCTGGAAGTACTATGAGTAGGTTGGATCAGGTATGTTGTTTGTGTGTCCATGCATGTGTGGGTGTTTGGTGGCAATGTTGTAAAGCTCAACAATTCTAAAAAATGATTCATACTACTATTAAACTAATATTAAAAGTTGAATTTCATTTCAACCTACAATATTTCTATTAAACTTCACTAGTCCATATATCTCTCAAAGGGTACTAAATTACTTGTGTGTATAAATATCAACAATGATACATGTCTTCTTTTGGTAAGATTATCTGATCCCTTTTATGAAAAAATAGCTAACCAAATTGCCTAAGCTAAACAATTGCAATGTCCAGAATAACTCCCCACCTTAAAAACAAATCTGACACAGATTTCAACTCAAACTGGAAATTGCTCTTAGACTAACCTAAAGAATGGATTGGTATTAGTGGTGGGATTCAAACATTTTTACTACCAGCTCTGTGGATGTGGCTTGGTGGGCGTGGCAGGGGAAAGATACTGCAAAATCCCATTTCCTCCCCACCCCACTAACCTGCTTTTAAGCTCCCTTCTCCTGTACAGGGCAACAAAAGAAGACCCAGCCAATCAGCTGAGACTCAGGAGGCAGAGAATAGATGTGGGCAGGGCCAGACAGAAGTAGTATTTGCCGGTTCTCTGAACTACTCAAAATTTCTGCTACCAGTTCTCCAGAACTGGTCAGAACCTGCTGAATACCACCTCGGATTGGTACTACATCAAAAATCTAGGTGTATCTAAACACAGAATCTATATTTTAATGATATGAAATATCTAACTGAGAACAGTTTTCTTTTTTAAGAAACATAGAATGAACCTTACTACAATGTACAATTCCATATGGTAATATATACGCAGACCAGTTTGTGATTAGGCTGGCCCATCATGGCAGCCATTTAATGAAGGTACTTATAATATGCTCTCATTATCTAAATAAGCTGTTTCCCCTAAATTTGCTAGGGGTCCCAAAGTAAATCAATATGTTAACAGATCATGGAAGAAATTCATAGTCCAAGTAATTGATAATTCCAGGTACTTGTTTGCATCCTTAAATTCCTTTCCTATTTTTCACATTTCTCCAACAATGTTACACCACAGTTCATATTAACCATTAAGAGTGATAAGATTTTATATCCTTTAATTAAACTTATCTTTAATGAGATGTCTAGACTGCTAGAAATAAATGCTAGATAGTATGTCTCAATCTATCAAATTTGGCAGCTTCTTAACAAAAACGAGAATCAGAGTCAATTTCCAATTGTCCAGTTCCTTGGATAAGTATAAATTCAACCGTGCTCTCAAACTACTGAGTTCTGCTTCCTGCAGCTTAAAATTTATTTGAACCATGCTTGAATCACAAATTCTCAATAATATGTCCGTGTTCATTTATTATATCAGTGCATATAACATTCATTAGACAGTCTTTGAAGAAGACAGAATATCAAAGCCATTATGCTCACATGTTCAATAAAATAATTATTTTAACTTAACTTGAGAGAGAGAGAGAGATTCTATTTTCAAATTCAGCAATGAAAAAAAAAACTGACCTGACTTTGAGTGTAAGTTTTTTCTTGGCTCTTCCGGCCCTTCAATTGGTTGGTCGGCAAGGAACATTCGTGCTTGATCAACAGCACTTAAAATCATTTGCTCTTTTTCCTTCAGCTCACGTCTGAGTGCCTTTCCAAAAAACAAAACAAGGATAATTTGTAAATTCATACTGCAGGCAATCTGCAGAACAGCAGCCCGCTCTTTTCATCCACTCGATCAAACTTATATCCACTTTACCAAACACAGAGATGGAATAAATAAATATAGCGTGAAAGAACATGCAAAACTGATCTGAAATATGGAGGCAAGGCAGGCATTTTAATAGACTAAATTCAAAAATATAAAAGCAAGAGAAAAATCCTATGTGGAATCAAAATATTATGCTCACGCAATTTCAGAAATAACCCATGAGGATTACGTTTAAAGGATAACACCATTAATGACAATACAGTCAGTCCTCGGTTTACAACCATTTAGTGACTGTTTGAAATTATGATGGCACTGAAAATAGTGGCTTATGACCAGTCCTGGCACTTGCAACCAATGCAGCGTCCCTGAAGTTACATGATCAAAATTTGGACCCTTGGCAACTGGCATCAATTTATGATGGTTACAGCATCCTAGGATCATCTAATGTCCATTTGTGACCTTCCCAGCCAGCCTACAACAAGCAAAATCAATGGGGGGCAAGCTGGATTTGCTTAAAGACCAAGGGTTCACTTAATGACCACAGTGATTCATTTAGAAACCATGGCAAAAAGATTGTAAAATCAGGCCTGACTCGCTTAATATGCAAATAATGCGTCTACATTATGAATTGCCCAGAGAGTGTTGTAAAGTGCTATGAGATGGTATATAAACCTAAATACTATTGCTATTGCTAAATGCTATTAACAACTGTTTCACTTAGCAATTGACATTCTGGTCCCACCTGGGGTTGTAAGTCAAGGACTAGCTGTATCATTATACTATCTAGTCTTGTGTTCTCCTCTGCAGTCTGGAAGTGATAAGTGATGAAATTATTAGTGTTGAGGAATCATGGCTATGTCTTGTCAACAGAATGTAGAAGAACACCTAGGAAAAAGCTATAGAACACCATATTGCCTTAAAAGACCACTGCAACTTTTTATGTCAAATGTTTTCAACCAAGTGATATTAATGTTAGTCCCATTCCAGTATACCTTACCTCAGCCAGGAGAAAGAGACCAAAAAAGAAAATCCCAAGTTAGCAAATAAATGAGAATGTTTGATTTATTCTAAAATAAGGAAGTGGAGAAGCTTCCTTGTCTATGGAGACTCTCAGTCTTCCAGGTCAGAGTTGTCCCCAAAGGTGCTTTTTCCAAAGTGCAATTGGATTTTCTTTTTCTTTTTTCTTTGAAATGTTTCCTTTGATAATGTTTCACTTCTCATACAAGAACCTTCTCCATTTCAGAAATGCAAAATGTTTTCAAAGGAAAAAACCAAGAAAGTCCAGTTGCCTTTTGGAAAAACCACCTTAGGGATATCTAGTTTCCTTGGCTGGTGCAGGGAAAGGTTGTTTTTATTCTTCTATATTTATGTTTATCCTTTTGTCCATAGCACAAATGTCATTAATTTAAAAATATGGATCTAGTCTGATATCTTGGATTAAGGGAATAAATCTATTGATTTCTTTTGAAATGAAGAGATTTATACTCAACTGATCTTTGTAACTTTAATTAAACATAAAGGAAAATATGATATGTTTTAATTTTGTAAATGAACTTGCTTAGCAGTATCTCCTGCCCTTATATCGTTTCTGAATTAATTCTGTTAAGGCTTGCAAGGAGCCTTACACAAATATAAAAGGAAAATATTCTTTTACTCAGGTAATAGAAATGAAAACTTTCTTGCAGTTAGAAGATGCTCCTTACTAAGAATACTGTACTTTACTTATTAGACAAGCAACACATGAATACATGTGGAAACCTAGTATACTATAGATCCCAGAGAACAAAAGTACAGTTTTTATGCAGTTAATGGCCAGAGGACTAGGTGTCCATTAGAATCCAAAATATTCTATACAGTGCACTAAGATACTTTTGTTTCTATTTATTTATGTATACCCCATCTTTATTGTTTTTACAAATAACTCAAGGCAGTGAACATATCCAACACACCTTCCTCTTTCTCCTATTTTCCACACAAAAACCACTCTCTGAGGTGAGTTGTGCTGATAAGAATGACTGGCCTAAGGTCACCCAATTGGTTTTCATGGCTAAATTAGAACTTGAGCTCACAATCTCCCACTTTCTAGCTTTATGTCTTAACCACTAGATCAAATTGGTTCTCTATCTCTAACACAGCAACTCACACTGACAAAGACTTTATTGCTATTGAAATTATAGTCCCATTGTCTTTTTTTTTAAAAAAACAACAAATGGCTAAAATTTAAAGCTTAATAACAGCAGAGAGTGGTGCTGTTCCCACACACACACACACACACACACAGATTGCCATCTTGAGAAAACTTTTGAGAAAATGTTTAAAGTAGTTTGCAACATAGTAGAACTATTTCTTTGGATGATAATATGTTTCTCAAATGCAATATCTAGATCTCTGCTACAGTCCAAACTATGATTAAGTAGTCAAAACTTATTCTAACAGCGTTTGTTTCAATAGGTTATATTTATCAATATTTACCATATTAAAAATTAAAATAGATGCATTTGCTGCCACTATTACTTCTGACAATTGTTTGATGAGGTTTTCATATTATGTCTTTTTCAGCATAGACTGGCAAATAATTTTGATTTTGTGGACCCCCCAGAGACTCTAGGACCATAGTTTAGGAAATAATGATTTAGAGTTTTGGTCATAAAAAAAAAACCAGAAATGTACTGCTATCGTGCCATATAATACCTATATTAGCACCTATTAATTAGTGGAAGATGTTTACATAATTTACGGACTAAAAAATCAGATATTATTGCCCTACAGTATTCATTTTAGAGAACACTCTTATAATACAAAATGTTGATGTTAATGTGGATTTTCTTTGCACCACAACAAATAAGGCAACCAGAAATAACTTTATTTCACATAGACAGAGCAACTTTTCTGTTACAAATTTCAGCAGTAAAGTTCAAGTGAGTCTATTAAACTCCCTAAGCCTTACAGATATTTGCATCATTCATAATATTCTTCCTAAGCATGCATATTATTATAAAACAAACTCCTTCAAAGATTATATGTCACATATATTTTTGAAGGCCCTTAAACATGAGTAGTAGTTGTGGTTATTCCCCTCAAACATGTCTGGAACCCATATGAGCCACTCTTATGCTTGGACAAAGATGTCAGGTCAATGATAGTTCACCTCTAAGTAATATAGCATTACTGGCTTCACTCTGGCTCAGCTCTTTATAGGGCAATTGTATGAGGAGGAAACTTAATACTATTGTCAATGTTCTAAGTTTATCTTCCATAATAAACTTTGGCTGCTACTAAAAATCAAATTTTAACTTGTTATTCCACACTAAAAATTCACTCTGCAGCATGTCTGAAATCCAAAATGAAATGGACACTAGGTTTCTATTACCTTAAAAACATTGATTGCTGATTAATTTTTTTAAAATAAAAATGCTTATTATTGTTTCAAATTGTTTTATTTATATATAAGCATGAAAAAAAATAGACTTAGAGTAACCCATTCTATTGGTTACTGGGATAAATTTAAGCCAGATTGATTTTATTGACTTCAGGCTAAGCATAGCTAATGGTAAAATTCAAGATTCTATGGTCCAATGGCTGAATTTCTTTATTCAGCAAAACTCAGGAATTGATCCTGTTCTGTAACTCTTTTAGAAAGCCACTTTTAGAAATTCAGGAATTTCTTTAGCAAGTTTGATGAGGACTCAGGGAGACAACTTTAGGAAAGAATTAAAAGTTCCATTATGTGATTGACTTCTATTCAAATAATATTGACTGTCCTCAGAATTGCTAAATTATAAACATGCAGGCTATTCAAAATAATTACTTCATCAGCCAATCCACTAAAATATGCACAATTGATCAAATTAGTTTCAAACCCAGAGGTAAACCTGACTTAATATAATGGGCTTTAGTTTCTCATAATGCACAAATAATTATCCTAAAATATTTCTTTTAACAGTTAAATTATTTTTTCTATGGCAGGAGAATATATTAATGTTTAATCCATAGCACATGAATACATAATTTGCAACTCAGTAAACATTTATTCAATTATTGTTAGCATGTTTATTTTAATATATTCAATGCAAAGTTCATGAAAATGCTAAAAATATCATGATTCAGAAAAGGATATGAATGCAAAGAGAATGTTAACCTTAAACCTGGTGTACATAGAAAAGCTTAAAAGTTTGTGAAATCTTAATAATAGTTCATAATAAGGAAATATTTTGTTCACTTTTATTTTTAATGTGCAACTCCCAACTCACCATTAATTTGGTGTACACTCAATCCTAAAAAAAAGGTCAAAACTCATTTTCCTGTAAGCCAGTAAATGCATCAATATCTGAATAAATATAGCAAAGACATCCTTCCCTTCCTTATACTTGAAGGAATAATATATAACTAGAAAGGTTCCAAAAACCCCAGCAAAATGTGGCTAATCCATTCTTCTGTTCTGGTCAGACATGTTTCAGAAGATTGTAAACTACAAGAGAGTTACTTAAGTAATGAAAAAAAAATTACACAATCAAAGAAAATTAATTTCAAACCAAAAGAATACAGAAATAACTGTTCAATCTTTCTTTCGGGAAAAAATAGTAATTTACATATCACACAGAATACCTTAAATTTGAATGTGATGGAAACAACATGAATTATTAAAAGATAACTTGAGTGAAATTACATTGCTCATAAATCCCTGTAATAATTTAATTTCACTGTAAATTTTGAGTAAAAACAACCTAATAGAAACGAATAGTAAAATCATGTTTCCATTAGTTTTAATCATGCACCTAACAGTCACATACAATTACAGGCTTCGCAAGAAGAAGGAACAATCACGGGGCTGAAATCTTTGTTCTAAATTACTTTGCTATGCCTGTTTATTCACAATTACTCAAAACATATTGATTAAATTTCCAAAATAGAGCTACCACACTTGGAGCTTGGTTAACAAA